CCTGCTGAATTCTGACCAATGCTTTTCAAGAAATGTTTTACGTTTGATAGAAAACACGAGTGCCCAGGGAAAATTCACTCATACAAATTGGGTGGCAGCACTAGCATCACGTGGCCACCTCATAGCCCCGTGTCTATAATCCCATTACCGGGCTCTTGCGGATGATGCCAAGGAATATTTGACATCCACTGTGAAGGCAGATGGCACGTAATTCTTTTTTTTTATTTCACTGTTCAAAACACCTGCGGCAATAACCAGGGCAGCCGCTTTACTCGAACCGCGAAATTCTGGACCCAAGTTGCGAACGTGGTTCCGCTGGGGCATGTCACTGCCCAGGGCCTCGTCACCACCAAAAAAACTGAAATTGTCGATTTAATCATTATCATTTAGTTTGAATGCATTTACATTGCAAATGTATACAATCATCTAGAACAGCGGTCGGGAACCTATGGCTTGCGAGCCATATATGGCTCTTCCGGTGACGGCATATGGCTCCCAGACAATTTTGAGTTGAAACAAATAATAATAAAAAAATAATAATAAAATCAGTTTGGAACTGATTTTAAAATACTTGTGATATTGCTTAATAATACTGTGTCATTTTAAAGTAAACAGAAATTAGTTTTGAAGATAAAATTTCTCGGGTCACGGGTCCCGTGACCAAAAGTCGCATTAAAAGTAAGACATATTTAATTTATTATACGTTAAAAATACTATATGGCTGTCAATGAAATATATTTAGAAATATTTGGCTTTTATGGCTCTCCCAGTCAAAAAGGTTCCCGACCCCTGATCTAGAAAGCCCAATTTTCTGTACTAACATATCGTAAACACCTTTGGGAATCTCACAAATGTATGCGGTCCACCAACCAACACTGTCTACACTAAGGCCACATTAATTATGATAAAAATCATAAATGGATGGACCACTTTTGCTCGGAGCATATTCTTCTAATTTTAACAAACGCCCAAGTATCTTTAATAAGTCATGAAAGGCTAGACAGCTGTGTATACCGACGACTTATCTTGACTAATCTGTCAATTAATGAGATGAATACTGTACTTTAATCAAGCCATACATGCATTTGCAGCTATGAACCAAAACTACGCACAAGAGGGCTATTTTTGCGTACGCTAGGAATGTGGGTGAGATGCAGAATGATTTGAGATGCGCTACTGTTGCAGGACTGAACAACATTTCATTGCAATGTAAATGCGTGGCTACAGTTCATGGAATTCCTAAAATGCCATCGCCTCTTCACCCATAACCATCATCTCAAGCCATGATCCATCCACTTCCAGGTGAAAGCCTCCCCAAAACCGCCACAATATCTCATGATCCTGCGACGCAAACATCCACCTGCAAACGAGAGGATGTCACCGTTCTCGGACACGTTCCATCCGTTTGGCTGCCACTCCATGAATGCGCTTGACCATCAGTCAACATTCCTGCAAGTGACATGCCCGAGCCCAGTTATTGTTCTCAACAGTTTGAATGACGTCTTATAACCTGCGTACTTTAATCCGCAAAGTTCATTCCTTCACCTCATGTAATGCCAAGCATGAAATTTGTCCACGCTTCTTTACACATCTTCTTGGTTCTTTCGGTAAAGTCACGTAGAATCGACAGACCTGTTCTCCACCTGAGGACGGCTACTTGCGTCGTGGCCGAAACGTCGTGAGAATTATTTTATTATGTTTTATTTGTATTCTTTTATTACTTCCCTTCTACGTGACTTTACCGAAAGAACCAAGAAGATGAATCCCTGCAGTCACGAAAGCTTTAAATCGAAATTCTTTACACATGTTAAAGTGTTTTTGAGTGTGCGGACAACATGAGTGGTATCTGCACTTTGTCGTGGGTTTCTCCTAGGAAAACGAGTAACTGGTGCAGCATGCGAACATCAGCAATGAGGAGACAAAGGTGGCTAGGCATGGTCTAGGCCTCACCACCATCATGTGCACTGTCCTGGCCTTAATAGGTGCTCGCTAAATGCAATTGCCCCAACAGTAGATAGAGCAAGGTAGTTAACAAGGCTCTATCTACTGATAATTGTTTTTTTTACCCTTTTATCTGGCAACAAAACTGACACCTTTTTTTACAAGGAGTCATGTTTGCATAGACCACTATACCTGCAGTCGTAATGCAAACAAAAAACATAACACTGATAATGTATTATCAGAGTTATGTTTTATCAGAGTTATGTTTTTTGTTTGCATTACGACTGCAGGTATTGTGGTCTATGCAAACATGACTCCTTGTAAAAAAAGGTGTCAGTTTTGTTGCCAGATAAAAGGGTCAAAAACCAATTATCATATTTTTCTACTGGCAAATGAGGTTCCAATGGTGTAAAGACTCTATCTACTGTAGGCCAGTCAGTTTCAAAGACAATGCATATGTTATCAGAGCATGTTTGTTTGAATAATTTGCCACAAGTACTGTATGTGTTTCTTGCCAGCAAGCGTAAAACCTATTCTTAGTTTTCATACTTTGTACACGTGATCTTTGTCAGCCTTTGTGGGAGACGAAGGCTGACATTTTGCAGACCTTTAATATATATTAAAAAAAAACTAAATGAAGAAAACCACACCGTTGGTGGCACACGTGATCGAACAAACGTATAAACTAACGGGGGCACGTTATCGATCGCGATATTTTCCTCGCGAAACTAACGGACACTACTGCGAGGATTTCCCCCACCACGAAGGCCCATTGCACGACACGCGTTCACAACAACACGCACGCGCTCGTTGCCGGAGGCGTGAGCGATACAAGGTAACGCCACTGTTGACCACGGGTGGAGCTCATCAATTAATAGATTTTTTCTTTTCTTCAGCCAGTCTTCAGGCCAGGGCGGGAGAGTTACGGTTCAATTGACGCGTGCATTGTCGAGGCACAAAAGCGTTCCCCTCCTGACCGCTCGTCTTCGTGTTTCGACTGAAGTTTCACAGCAACTGAACGCTTCCCCCCTCCGCGATTTTGTGACTTCCCTTCGCAGCAGACACTCTGTGGACGTGTCATACATACATATGGACCTTTTGTTGTCCATCTTTTGTCACTCAATCCCCGATAACCGAAGCGTGAGGCTTACGGGTTTGGCTTTTTGTTTGTATTTATTCGCCATGCTGGTCAGTACGGGTTGCTGAAGGTCGAGAGAATAGTTGTGCCTGCGTATAAGTCATCATCATGGCTTGGCTTCGCGAACGAAGATCTAGGAAGGACATCCACATCTTCTGCAAGACGAGGACTATGCGGGACAAGCAGGTCCTGCCACAACGGCTGCAAGTATAGGTGCGTATAAGTAGAGTACAACAATCGATGCAGCTGCAGTGTCCTCTGCTGCCCACCCCATAGCCCACAAGCCCTAATAACAACCTATTTGTGCATGGTGGTCACCCATACAGATGCCATGCAGGCTGACCCACCCCTACTGGACAGCTTTGATAAAGAGCTTTATAGCCCATCGGATTTCCTCGAGTATAAATACATATTTTGATTCTAATAAAAAATGTATATTCTGATAGCTTTTGAGATCTCACCATATTATCAGGAATAAATCCCAATATTGTTAGACCTTGGATAAAAACAATAATGTAGTTGTTTAATACCAATGATAATCAAACCAATGATAATGGGTGCAACCTGTTCCTGAAAACAGTAGCCAAGAGATATTAACGCAAAATAAAAGTAGCATTATTCTAAGAACCACTCTTTTAAACTTGACAGTCTTTGCAAGGCACCGCATTGTCAAATGCTGGATGCAAGTATGAATCTCAATCTCCGAGGGACTGTTTCCCTGTGGACATGACAAGAAGCTTTCCCACACGATGACGACTTGGATTGTCTCATTTCTATGTAAATTTTGGTTATAAACTGCGGGAAAGCAACGGTGTTTTTCCTCGCCTCAAGACAAACCAGAGATGATCTTGCAAACCCGCATGATCTGATTTCAATACAGAAACAATTATTGCTGCACTCATTTGAATTACCTTCACCCGAGTACCCTAATTAACTCAATTAGTTAGCTAAATTAAATTTTTGTTTTACACGTGCACCTGCTGTTTAAATCAATGTGGTGTTTGAGTCTTATTAGAGGAATATTCAGCCTCAGTTGAGAAATAACGTAGCCTCAAATGAACTGTTGCGGATATTATTTGAACTTGGAAGATGTGTGCCATTACACGATGTACAATTGCCTGCTCTTATGCATTATTTTCCTTGGACTTTAATGTCCATTGTATAGCCAACGGCAGAACAGGCATCATTTTGTTTCGAATGCTTTCAACTGTGGCTATAAAGCATTAATGCACTGGCTCTGTCTGCCATGTCCGTCTGGACCAGTGAGGGGGAAGGGCACGGCACTTAAACAGGACATTTGTGAAAAAGTGGTTCATAGCTCATCGGATTCCCCGAGTACGAATACAAAGCCTGATTCTAACTATGCCTTTCGTTAAAATGATCCAATACGAACCAAACTCTGGAATAAAGGTGCGTTGGTATGAGACATGTACTCGACTGAAAACCGGTTAGATGTATCAAAGTGTTGGCCGAAAAACGTGGGAGACACAAAGCAGAGCAAAAAGTGCTCGTTGCAAATGAGCAATCGGGTTTTGCTCCAACAGCTACCCCCCATCAACTTCAATACCGAGTAAATATTTTTCATAACAAACACATGTTGGAGAGCGTTACATATTCCACGCAGAAATATACATAGCATGTCTTAGTTTGATGAATCATGAGCTTTGTTAATAGTGTACTAGATCAGTATGGCACATTTCTGGCAATCTTAGGACATTTTTTGAGGATGTAGGGAGGCCGTGGTTGGTAGGAGGGGGGGGAAGAAGGGGGCAGCAGGGGGAGAAAGTGGGGTCAGGTCAGATGAGGGTGTGGAGGTTTCGCGGTTCATACCACTGAGAACAAATGCAATGGGTTCCGCGCAAACAGGAAAGGTCACAGATTACGAAAGGTCACGACTGCCATGTGCCGCTTGGGGACGTACTGCTGCGTGGCTTTCCATCCCCGCCCGTCTCGTCCTCGTTTTCCGGATCGATGTCCTCGGCCTGCATGATCCAGTCCAGGTAACCCTTGAGGTCTTCCTCCAGCTGCTGTTTCTCCCGCAGCTTCTGGAAGTCTCCGCGAGCCTTGGCCTTCTCTCGCTCCTTGGAGAACTCTCTGTTTCGTGACGGGACACAGGCGGGAGGAGGAGAGGCGAAGGAGGGAGGCTGAACGTCTGTAAGGCTCTGCCGACGTCGCTCCTCAATCATCCTCAGCCTGTGATTTGTTTTCGTTTGAGACCTCAGAGATGATGCGTCACAGATGGCAGCACGATCGATCGCCTATGAATGCTTTCCCGTAGCCGAAATTCCCTGCCAAATCATTCTAAGCATTGGGCCAACAAATTATATTACAGCTGCTCTAAAGCAGAGAAACCACGCCAAGCAATTAAAGCCATTGGAATCAATTACACTCTTTGCAGTAGTTTCATTGTAAAATATTACAAATGCCAAGAAAAGTGGAAGTCTATCGGCATTCAATTGCATTTCAAGGGTACTCATAAAAAAACTACAAAATTGCACTCCTGCATTATTTTTTTCCCCCATGAAAGAGTTTAATTGCGTCACAATCACCCCGTGTATCTTTGAACGTAACGAGCCACTTGGAAGGCGCTGGTTTAGTGGTCACCGATTTTTTTGTCCAATCAATTTTGTATCAGGCTTTGCTCATCACCGGTAGCAAATGGGCGGCCAGCGATTGATTCCTCGTTCCACTGTTTTGTCACGCTGCTAAATCACAGGCCACACTGGAGGCCACAATGCATTTGACCGTTTGATTTTGATTTACAATTATTGTTTTTTATTCTCATGTTCAATAATAAAAGCAACAATGTCATTCGTAATAAAGTTACACGTAAATTATTGGCGGAGCAGTGGCGACGGTGCTTAGCGCACTGTGTTATGAATCTGGCAACCCAAGTTCAATTCCTGGCCAGGGCCAACATCAGGGAAGAGTGATATCAGAATCTGTCCCAGCCACCCAATCCTTCAGCAACCTGCGCTGACTAGCGTGGCAAAGTATGGTAAATAATCCCACGGATGACATGACACAGGAAGGTCTTCGTCCATTCATGGAATGAGAAAGTCTGAAATTTGTTTAATATAAATAGCATTTTGAATGGTTAGAATGCCCATTAAACAGTTTAAATGGTTTCCTACTCAATTTAGCACAGGGCGTCATTTGTCTCCGATTTATCATCATAGCCAGTGGTGGAAATTCCACATTCCTATGGTACAGGTGGATATTTCGTTCAGACCACCACTGGTGGATTTCCCATAAGGTGGTTCCTATTAATCGACCTGCCTGTTCAGGGTTTGAACTTGAAACGTTCTGATTGCAAGCCACGCATTCAACCATTGCACCCCCCCTTCCCCCCAGAGTGCATTAGGTTGTAAGTTGACAGCCAGAAATAAAGCTAAGTTTTATCTTTTAATTCAAGGTAAAATTAATACATTTATTATTTTAGAAACACAGAGTATATCTGACAGTGTGTACTGCCTGCATGCTGGGAATAACGATTCTGTGATTAGAGCTGCCTTTCAACACTAAACTTATTAGCGCCTGTGCGTTTTCATTAGGGCGACGATAAAATGTCGAAATCTTTCAAATTATTTGTGGGTCAACTAAAGTTTAACGAGATTCGCACACGGCTCCATAGTAAACCGGCACAATGCTTTACTGTGCGCCGGTGGGCCGTAATTAACTGAGCAGGACGCTGGCACAACAACGAGTAATAACAGCCAGATAATTGATACCTGATGAAAAATACTGCCCCGTGTAAACTTCAAAACCTCATGTAATTTAAAAATAAAGAGTAATAACATCATCATTGGACCTCCTTTGCCAGTACCAAAATATACTAATAGGGTTTTCCCCCTTTTTTTCTTGTTTTTTTCTGGCAACAAAACTGACACCTTTTGCAAGGAATCATGTTTACATTAACCACAATACTTGCAGTCAAATGCAAACAAAAAACAATACTCTGATAATTTATCCTCTCATTACTCTGATAGTGCATTGTCTTTGAACTGTGCGCCTTTTGGCGTCATCTGGTCGAACACCATATGAGACTAGGCTCTAAAGAAAGCTGTCTCTGGTGTGGACCAATCAGTTTCAAGGACAATGCATAAATTATCAGAGTATTGTTTTTTGTTTGCATTTGACTGCAAGTATTGTGGTTGATGTAAGTAAGCATGATTCCTTGCAAAAGGTGTCAGTTTTGTTGCCAGAAAAAAGGGGTAAAACCATATTAGTAATAACATCATTATTTGTCTCGACTGTGCACGTTATTTAAATAAGTAGTGTGCACGGTCGAGAAAAAAAAAAACACATTTGTGCCAGGGCCGGATTGGCAGCATGCAGATTTACTGCAACATAATTTGGGAGTCAGTGGATGTTGTGTCTCTTGTGTGTGGGTGCATACATGGGATCTCGGGCCACAACATTATGGTTGCTAATGCATTTTCATAAAAAATTAAACGACCTGCATCAGAATCAATGCTGTTTATCGTGCATCTGGCAGCACAATAGACCTGTTCACCCTCAAACAATGTCAACAGTTTGGAGCCAGACTGCCCGGTTTTGGTGGGCCTGGCCAGCGATCAGAAGTTGTGAAATGTTGTCCTTCCTTCCATTGAGCCATCAAGGCATTGTCTGCTTGTATACAATCACTGCTTTCCAAGGGCACTTCGATGCATTTGGTTTATTTTGGTTGGGTAGAAGATGCCCATAGTAGACTAGCATGCTGAGCATTGCTGCCATTATTATTGACATTATTTTTACCTTTGTGTTATTATCTTCATTAATCAAGGGGATTACATCACCATTTTCTTGCGAGTTAGCCTCAACATAACTTTGCTACCCCCACCACCACACACCCCGGTGCCAAATCGAGGAGAAAGTGACAGGCGACTCGCAACGTCGCGGTCAGCTGCCACTTTGTCCGTTTCACACTTCCCATCACAAAAACGATCGTTCGCTGTGGGGGGGAGCGGGGGGGTGTCTTCAAAGAGATTCCCCCTCACCGCCCCCCCCCCCTCCACCCAGCTGGCCATTTAACAAAGCACCTCGGCACAAGACACCGACACAAACATGCGGCGACGTGGATGGGCTTTGTCCTCCAGCACACACGATGGAAGACGAACAATGCGGCAAGGGTGTCAAGGGGTTGGGGAGGAAGAGGACAAGGCAGCATGGGGCTCTAATAAGTACCGCACGGGGCGTACGGGCGACGTGGCACGTGGCGCTTCATGGTGATGCGGGGGTGAGACGGCATCAGGCGAGACGCCTCTGGGCTCTACTCGGACCGCTTCTTGAGGACCCGCGGACGTTAACGAGCAGAGGCAGTGCCGACTATGCGAGAGGCAGAAACTGCGCCCGTTGGGTGTGATTGACGTGGAGCCGCGGTTTGCAATGCTCTTATAAGTGCTGATGGTACCCACCCGGCTGAAGTCACACGGGACAAATGCTGTGGTCTTCAGCCACAGTCAGGTCACACCTTTTACGAAACCAAGGATTCTAACATCAATTCTAGATTTGAAGCTTTCGTGACTGCAAGGATTCATATTATTAGGTTTTTTCGGTAAAGTCACGTAGGTAAAACATTTAAATTAATAAAAGTAAAATAAATAAATAAATCTCGACGTTTCGGGGGCAACACAAGCTTCCGTCTTCAGGTGGAACCGTCACAGCACGATTGCTGTATCAAGTTGATACAACTATCGTGCTGTGACGGTTCCACCTGAAGACGGAAGCTTGTGTTGCCTCCGAAACGTCGTGATTTTTTATTTATTTTTATTTTGCTTCTAACATCAGCAAAATAATCCCTGAAACGGTTCTGGATTAACACAGAGGACACTGAAAGTGGGACCTAATAGCAGTAACACTTTAACTTCTGTATCAAGGAAACTATCGCTCAGTCTCAAGGCTCTTTATTTAGTGGAGCCCTGAGTTTGGATGTTCGGCCAATTGCAGTAAAAAGTAGTTTGCGTTTTGGAGGAAACTGGAGTACCTGCGAAACCCCCACACATACGAGGGAAGTGACACTGTAAGCTCCCTATAGATGGGTTCATTAATCCCTTTGCTGTACTCACCATCTCTTAGTTACCTGGCCACGCAGGTTTATAATAATAATTTAGCATCTTCTTGGTTCTTTCGGTAAAGTCACGTAGTAGGGAAGTAATAAAATAATAAAAATTAAACATAATAAAACAATTCTCACGACGTTTCGGCCACAACGCAAGCAGCCGTCCTCAGGTGAAGAATGAGACAATGCCAAGCTAGGAGCTTATATATAAGCTGCGTTGGAGGTGGAAGAAAGAGCGCCTTAACAAAAGAATGTGCATATGTTAAGGCGCTCTTTCTTCCACCTCCAACGCAGCTTATATATAAGCTCCTAGCTTGGCATTGTCTCATTCTTCACCTGAGGACGGCTGCTTGCGTTGTGGCCGAAACGTCGTGAGAATTGTTTTATTATGTTTTATTTTTATTATTTTATTACTTCCCTTCTACGTGACTTTACCGAAAGAACCAAGAAGATGAATCCCTGCAGTCACGAAAGCTTTAAATCGAAATAATTTAGCACTTGCAATGTACAGAGTTTATGCTCACTCTCAAAGAGAGAGAGAATGATTCAGAGGCGCGGAACACCACAGCCAAGTGGGAAGGCAACCAGAAACTGGCAACAGCAAATTGCCTCAGCTCTGTGATCCTACATTGGGATGTTTGGTCAACTCACATCTACATGATCAACAAACGCACGGCTCCAGAGCACCTATCATTGCCGAGGACACTTGGAGAGTCTGGAATTGCCAACATCTGGTCTTTGTGGGGTGGGCATCGGTCTGAATCTCGCCATAAGATATTCAGCATGAAGCTCCACGTGCCAACCAAACAGAGAAGCGTCATTCGTCATGCAAGACTTATTTATTTTTTTATATTTAGAAATTTTGCTTTGTAAAAGAGCACACAGTTGCTCACAGACAGGAATACAGTAGTAATAATAATCATGAATAAAGATTGACGATTAAAACTTGGAAGCTGAAGTTTCTTACCCGCTCAGCACACCGAGAACCAGGTTAAGCACGAAAAAAGAGCCTACGATGATTAAACTAACATAATACATCCACGGCCACTCGTTCCCAATCGCATCATTTACCTGGAAAATGGAAGGACACGGGATAAGTGTGGTTAGGAGGGCAACACACTTTCTGACAGATGCTGGGCAATCGCTGGAAATTGATTCGCATTAATGGAGGATCTGTATGCAGGAAGGGTTTTCAGTTTTTTTGCATTGTGCGTGACCTTTTGGCTGGCTGTGAAGACTCACAGTGCGTGCGCGCCATCGTCGCCAGGGAATAGTCGCTTCGCCGTGAGCACAGCGACGGAGGGGTTATTTCTCGCAAGGTTAATCAGACATCTAAAAAGAAGCGTGGCGGTGAAATGGACCTACGATTGCGAGGATATATATATTATCAAACACGTACCAGAGGTGTATATAAAAAAAACTATTCGTAAGAACTATGTCAAATCGGAATGTTTATTGTGGTGTTCAAAAATAAATTAAATTGGGCACGTCTTAGGAAGCGACGCCTCCATTGATGCCAGCGATTTCCAGCATCCACACGGCACACGCAAACGGAAATCAAAAGCAAGACTTCCTGCTTACCCGCTCAATACACCAAGAACGAGATTAAGCACGAAAAACGATCCGAAGATGACCAGACTGACAAAATAAACCCAGGGTAACTCAAAGCCCATGGCGTCATTCATCTGTGGAGGAGGGTGACACAGAACATCGGGGTTTACTGCTTGTGGCTTGCGGAGGGAGAAACACGCTCCGGAGGAACACAAGGATTAAACAAAACATGGAAGAGTAGATCTGAAGAAGAATGTTGCGTGTCACTCAGATAATTCCCAGGTGTACATTTAAAGGCTTCTGGGGGGAGACAGTGGAGACGGGATCACAGCTTAAGAAGCTCGCCGTTTCTCTAAAGGTGCTTAGCTGCTGCCGCCGCCGCTGTTTGATATATTTGTATTATCTTCTCGAGTCCCAAGATGTGTGTCCCAGGCCGTGCGAGGCTACAACAGAATCAAGGTGGGGTGAAGTGGCACGACTTAACTGGGGGGGTCAGACAACACAGAGGGCAATCACGTGCCCGAGCGAATGTTTTCATTCTCGACATTTCACGTCGGCCTAAAAACGCATCATTTTAAATCACATACGCGACACGTGTACGAAATGAATCATTAAAACTTACAGGTTAAATTCACCCATGTGCGTATGCGTCTTTGTTTATCATGTCAGTGTTGGCGTCATTAATTGGTCGTTTTATTTCAATTTGTAAAATTGCATCGCAAAGCAGCTCCGGCATGAAATGAAGACACAGCATCACCTACTCAGCTGGGTATTAACGCGGCCTAACGCTAGCACCGCACTGGTCATCACTGTGCATGTGATAACCGTACTAATACTACATGCCGTCTGCTTTACAGTCCACGCTAAAGATCCCCTGACATCATTAGCAAGAGGAGGCCCATTGTGTGCCGAAATCATGGTCCAAATTTGCCAAATTCTAAATTTGCACCGCTAATTACTCAATTCGGATTACACATGCCCCCCTACTGGCAGACTGATTCATATCCCCAGGTCACTCTTGCAATGAGACATCATGGGTTTTTGTGTTCTCACCGCCTGGTTAAACAAAATTTACTTGAACTATTCATCAAATAATTTTGCACAAATGAAATTTTTAAAATGTTTTCTATATATATATCTCAACCAAGTGGCTTTTTATTTTTATTATTGCTTTTTAATATTCCAGATCTTTCTTTAAAAGGGAACTATAGCATCAATGGGCACTCTGTTTGAATACAATTGATACCTTACCAACGCATGTAACAAAATGCCCACGCATTTGGAAATAGCACTGCCCTAAAATGATGTGTACAATAGGTGACGTTTTGGGCAATGGGCCTCCTTCATAGCAAAGAGATCATCTCTCAGCAAAGATAAATACAGTATATATTTCTTATTTAGGAAGCAGTGCCATTGACAAATTTGAGGGATTATTGTTCTTTGAGGATTATGCACACTAACAATGCCACATCACAATATTATTTATTTATTTTACACACATGTGCAATTTGTTTTCTGCAGGCCAGGGTTTCCCTCATTCGGCAAAGAAGTGTAAACTATTCGTTAAGATTATAATAATGATAATTTGTATTTTAACCAGCTAAGACTTAACTGAGCTTTCAAAATAAAACTCACCACCAACCCTCTACTTCCAATGGCCCATTCAGCCCTCTATATAGTCACACGCAAGCTCATGCAGTTAATGTAATGAGAATGTCCTGGATTTGGTTTCCCCTGAATACTCTTTTATTATTACCATATACATTATAAAACCGGCCAAGTTGATTAAAGTGTTGGCAAAATCTTGGCGATAAAAAACTTAACTGAATAGTTAATCCGCCTTGGCCTCGGCCAGGGGTTGGCAACCAAAATAACAAGAAGAGACATTTTTTTCGGATTCGGTAAAAACTCCTCAATTCTTCAAGAGCCGCAATGCATGTGAATACGAGGCGGTGGTCATAAGTGTACTTGGTACCAGAGCACCTTGGGCTGAAGGTCAATTTTTGATTTTATAAGGCCGTATGTTCTGGACACTCGGATAAAGAGAGGGACAGAGCTATCAACTTGTAAGTTGGATCCGACGCTTGGGGCACTGACCAGAGAGACGTTGAAGGCCCAAATGAATGGTGCGAGTTGTCTGGGACCGTCCGATGGAAGACCCAGTGTAGAAATATTTAAACTTCTACCTCCGGGGAAACTTCTCCTCCACTCCAGGGGAGGTCGTGGACATTGAGTACGAGTGGACGTTGTTCTAGACCTCGATTGTGGATGCAACTGTGAAAAGCTGGAGCATCAAGGCAGTTGGTGCCCGTCATGGCGGAAACACTGGGGCCCACTGGTGGACACCAATGGTGAGGGGAGCTGTCAAGTTGAAGAAGGAAGTTTTCTTAGTTATGCTCGGAAAAAGGTCTGCTGACTCGATTGAGAGGTAAGGCTTGCCAAGAGGGTGGCAGCTGCAGCAGTCGCTGAAACGAAAGCCCGGGCATGGAAGAAGTTTGAAGAGGCCATGGAGATGGACTACTGGGACAGCCTCAAAGATCTTCTGGCCAACCATCCGACGCCTTCGGGAAGGGTCGACGGGGCGTGGCCCAGGCTGTTTTCAGGAAGCGTGGCGTAACATTGACCTCAACTAGGGAGATAGTAGAGAGGTAGAAGGAACACTTTGGGGAGCTCCTCAACTCAGTGGACATGCCCTCCTCTCAAGAGGCAGCCCTGGAAACAGCCGGGGAGGTAGGATTCTTCACGGTTGCTGAAGTCACTTCGGCGGTCAAGGGCTTTCGTAGCGGCAAAGCTGCTGGGGTGGACGAGATTCGCCCATTGTTGTTTAAAACGCTAGACAGCGTAGGAGCTCCGTGGATAACACGCCCCTTCAATGTTGCATGGAAGGTGGGTGCAGTACCTCTGGATTGGCAAACTGGGGTTGTGGTTGCCATTTTTTTTAAAAGGGGACCAGAGGTTGTGCTCCAACTACAGAGGAATCACACTTCTCAGCGTACCAGGTAACGTCAGAGTGGGACAGTCCTTAAAGAGCCGCATGCGGCTCCAGACCCGCAAGTTGCTGACCCCTGACCTAGGCGATGGATGATGTTGTTTGGCTCGTTGTGCAGTTTGGATGATACATCACTGCTGTTGTTACTGAATTACCTCCGAGGACAAATACACGTTGGAGCGTGTTACAGCATCCAAGCATATGCATGATGTTTTCCCATGTTTGTCTTATTGATGTGTATACTGCCCCACTTTACATGACCGGCGGTAGATTAACTCCAACGCTGTCTGTACATGGTGGGAAACGCCATCACAACAGGAAAATGCATACATGATCTAACAACATGTGAAAAGATACACTCACACAAACAGTTGAAAGGCACAACTCCCATCATATCGTGTTATGTGATTACCACATTGCATGTACAATGCTCTCAGCTTTGTCCAGACCACCAGCTCAAGAGCTGAAGCCGTGGCCATATTGTCGATTAGACCACCAACTCAAAGAGTTGGAAAATGTGGCCAACCCAACAGGCAGCGGTAAAACAAACATTCAGCAAGTGAACTGGTGGTGCGGACAAGGCTGAGGGCATTTTAAATACAGTGTGACGATAAAATTGCCGCGGTGGCAAGATGTTAACTACCTCGCCTTGTATACAGGAGGTTGTGGGTTCGATCCCAACCCTGACACCTGTATACATGGAGTTTGCATGTTCTCTCTGTGGTCGCGTTAATTTTTCTCCAGATCCCCCGGTTTTTCCCTCCACATGTAGAAACATGCCTTTAAAGTATTTGGCTGCTATAAATTTCCACACAATAAGCCACTCTGTTAAGCTATCATTTGTGGCCAAGTCGCTTCTGAAAAAAGCTACGTACCTCAGTAGGCCTTACCTGGTAAAATTTAAAAATACAAATAGTCTATAGTATATTTACAATTACACGCACGCAAGGCATAGGAATGGGAGTTGTGCCTTCCTGCTGTCTGTGGGCAGCTCGGCTCTGCGCGTTTGTTAAATCCACCGGTCGCGACGCGGCTGGGGGGGAGCGGGCGAAGTTAGCCGCGAGCGCCGGCTACGAGCGGCGCGTCTCACCCAGTACAGCACGTCGGTCCAGCCCTCCATGGTGATGCACTGGAACACGGTGAGCATGGCGAAGAAGAAATTGTCGAAGTTGGTGATGCCGCCGTTGGGGCCGGGCCAGCCGCCCCGGCAAACGGTGCCGTTCATCGCGCACTGCCGGCCGTGGCCCGCGAAGGCGCACGGCTTTGGGTCGTCCTCCACCATCGTGTCTGGGTGGCACCACGGATTGGGTCAAATATTGTCGCATGTTGAACTTCTTTCGCACCCTACGCAGCCAACCATGCTAATGGGAGATGCGTTTACAGTTGCACTGGCCACCGCACGTCTGGGTAATGTTGCGGCTGTGTTAACCGTTAACATATTTAAATACTACGTGTCGTCTGCTTCTCGACGTTTCTAAAAATGGTGGGCCATGTATGCCGCCAGCGCGCCATGGGCAAATTTTTCCAATTGTTATGGATGCCTCCTAAATTACTTCATTAAGAAGCCACAATCCAATGCGGTACGGAGGAATACATTGTTAAATACAAGTGCAGGGTGCATCATGGATGACAAAATTATGTAAATAAAATTATCATAATTTGCCAAGAATGTATCTTAGGAGCTCGACTGAAGAAATTAGAGGCATGTATTTTATTTATGCTCTTCCCCTTTAGCCGAATCTGCCCTCAGCCACCATTACAGGTGTGAATTGGGCCATAAATGCAGATACCTCGAACATTGTCATTGGCCATAAAATCTAACAACCTTCCGTTTCCACGCAATTCGTGTTTTTGTTTTTTCCCAAGCAACCATTACCAATATTTGTACCCCCCTTATTTTGTTGAGCCTAAGCAAACTTTCTCAGCGTACTCTCAAATGTAAACCATAATGTTAGGTGCAATCTCCAAACGTACTAATAAAGCAGTGGCTGCTTTTCATTTTGCACAAATTAGTATAGTTTTATATTTTGGTCCTGTTTCTGTGCCCTATACCCCAAAGTCTTACCCTTTTAATTTTAATTGCATTTTTTACCTACGTGACTTTACCAAATAAAACCTAAGAGTATGAATCCTTGCAGTCACGAAAGCTTCAAATCTAGAATCTTACCCATGAGCCTAACCCTCACCGATTGCAGAAGGAGGCAATAAGTAGGGAGGGGACGGACAACAAATATCCGTTTCTCCCACACAAATATTTATCTGCTGGAACCTGCCATCATCACTCTTCTAAACTGGCAACCCCCAAGGCAACTTCTTACCGGTGTTGACGTAGAAGCAGGTTTTGTGCATTTTGCCAATGAAGAGCTCGAGACCGATGATGGCGTAGATGATGATTACGAAGAGGACGAGGAGGGCGATGTGGAGCAAGGGGACCATGGCCTTGATGATGGAATTGAGCACGACCTGCAAGCCTGATTTTCGAGAAACATCACCAATGCTGTCAGCGAGCAAACTATCCGGACCTCACGACGCGCCGTGGATGCTGAATTATGGGTAATGGTTAAATAATGAGCAGGCAGGAAGTCCATATTTCCAGAATCGTTCTTTTTTGTCCAGTGACCTCTTCACCTTTTGCACCCTCATCAGCAAAGTTAAGCCTGTTAAGTAGATGTTGCTGGATAATGTTAATCCGGAAGGTCAAGAGGTTGAGCGGCAACAAACATCTGTTCTTTTAAGTGGAGAAGGCAGACTTCCTTCCTGCTTATTATATATCCGTTAAGACTGACACGGCATACATGGTGAGGTGTGACCAGCATCGTCATAGCCCAGCATCCTTCATCTCCCCCAGTGTGTATTAACCAGGTCGTTGTTTCAGACCGAGTTCAGCTCGGGGAAGCCAAAGCGAGGTTCACAATCTGATTGCGTCTGGCGTATGGGCATCACAACCAGGAATGAAACTCGAGTCCGCCAGTAGCGTAGCACAGTCCAATAAGTAATGTTACAAAACGGCACTCACATGCACACTCTCATCATCATCACACACAAAGCCACTCGCGCTCACACACAATCACATACATACACTCAAATACTGCACACACACACACACACACAATGCCCTGCACTCATATATAGCGCTCTCGTGCACACATTAATCACGCTCATTACTCACACACAAATACCAACCCATCACTCACTAAAAAAAAACTCAGTCCGTTTCACTCGTACGTATAAACGACAAAGAACCCCCGTATAGCCTTGAGCAGACTGTTGGGGCAAGTGCTGCTAGCGAACAGCCATGAAGGCTGGCACAGCACACGAGGGGGTGGCTATCCTACAAAACGCCCGGCCGCTTTCGTTTCCCAAATGCTGATGTTTACACACCGCACCAGGTGCTCATGTAAGGCTGAGTCTAGGTGAGGCCCTCGGTAAGATTCTCATCACTGACGTTGGCTGTGCATCGCAACACTCGCTCGACAACTGCCATTCGCCACAAAGTGGCAGTGGTATCCTCACAGTGCTTATTGCCAGGCTATGTAGACTTTCGGATCATGTGAAGTGTCGAAGTCTCGCCGACATGAAATCATAGGGCAGGCTCAGGTTTGTATGGATTAACTGATAGGTTACTGGCACATGCACCACCTGTGCTCCCCACTGTGCCACCTTGTTGTGTTTTACCCACCCGATGCTCTGCCCATTGTCGGAAGTATCGCTTCTCTGTCTTTGTTGGTGTAGGTTGGCTGCCTCCACTCACATGTAGTACCATTCACAAGCCTCCTCCTAGAGGCTGGCCTTGACACCGCTGGTACCATTTATCAGCAAATCTAACGAGCTTGAAATCCTGCCGTACCACATCAAACCATCTCCTCTTTAGCCCGTGACATGCCCATTTAGCCTCCTCAATCTGGCCAAACAGAAGCTGCTTTGGCATTCGGTAGCTGGGTTTGTGGGCAACATAACCCAGCCAACACAGCCTCACTTGCTGGAGGTGCTCACCGACGTACTGCAGTTAGGCCAGGCTGAATGTTCCAGGTCAGTGCAGGTGTTAACTGTGAAGGGGTCAAATCTTGACTTAAAGCTTTCGTGACTGCAGGAATTCATATTCTTTGGGTCTTTCGGTAAAGTCACGTAGATAGGTTATTTTCTTTGAACCTATCTACGTGACTTTACCGAAAGACCCAAAGAATATGTAAAGGGGTCAGTGTTGCTCAGGTGACAGATAAAATAACGCATTATTATTTTCGAGAAGACCCGGAGGTTCGTGTGGACTGCCATCCAGGCAGCTTTCACGCGGCGCTGCGCAGCCGATGAAAATATAACGTCACTTTCGTGATTTGGAGTGAGACCTCCGCTGCCAAACCGCGGCTGGTAATGAGCACACTGCCAAGGTACAGGATATCCTCCATGCTCTCAACAACTCCCCCATTACTCATGGCGAGCCGAGGATGTGGAGTGTACGATGACATGGTGTACCCAGGCCGGTGTTTGTTTTGGGAGGGCTGGTAGTGGAAAGCTCCAGGTTTATGAGCAAAAACTTATCGTCAGCCTGAGCAGTAGTTTGGCAAATCATCAGCGAGCATGACGTGATTCATCAGTATAGAGCCACCCCTTGCCCTCACGCAGACTTCGATCAGCCTCCCATTGCATTTGTACCACATGTTCATTGCATAGGAACGGCCATGGTTATCTTCTCGAACTATGTGGCAAAAAACAAATATATATAAATAGTGTTGGGGGCAAAAAAACCCCCTGATGGACAGGGAATGGTACTGACTCTTTGCCATGCAGCTTTTCCTGGAACTGCCCACCATTGAGAATTTGTGTAATAATCTTGAGCAGAGTTGCAGCAACACATAGGCCTTATCCACGTAAAAGGGGCACATATGTAGTTGCTGTTGAAATCCCCGACACAATTATTCTGTAGAAGATGGACAGAGAATATGGCATCTGTGCAAAATTGTCCTTGCCCCATAGTTGTGTTTGGGCTGAGGAGATAATCCTACCCCAAGATCTCACAACAATGCTCAGCAAATCTGCAGACCTAATGCTGAGGGCTGAAAATCAAATTACCATTCTGACCCTTAAGGGAATAAATTGCAGTGGTGCTGTAAGTTATTTTTTGAGTGATTTGTGGCCGTGGCCCCCCGAGTCACTTTTCCATCTCCTCAGCAGCCCACGACCGCCACTCATCCTTGCAGTCAGTGTGGAACGGCTCTCCAAACATCTGAGCGAAGGCTGCGGTAAGCCTCCTCATTTTCACGCGTGGGATGTTGTTGAACGGTGGGAGTGGGACCACCATTTTCACCATGAAGTATTGTGAGCAATTTAAAGCTTTCGTGACTGCAGGGATTCATCTTCTTGGTTCTTTCAATAAAGTCACGTAGAAGGGAAATAATAAAATAATAAAAATAAAACATAATAAAATACAATTGTCACGACGTTTCGGCCACAACGCAAGCAGCCGTCCTCAGGTGAAGAACAGGTCTGTCGGAAAGACAGCGTCTGAATGGGGACGCTGTCTTTCCGACAGACCTGTTCTTCACCTGAGGACGGCTGTTTGCGTTGTGGCCGAAACGTCGTGAGAATTATTTTATGTTTTATTTTTATTATTTTCCTTCTACGTGACTTTACCGAAAGAACCAAGAAGATATTGTGAGCAATGTCATGAAGAATGGCTATTACCCAAATTGCCATATATTTAATATTTATTTATGTTTCCATTGAGGGCAGTGTTATCGACGCAATATTGTATGCTGATATTTTGTTAATTGTGCTTGTGCATTACTGCCAATGCAATATCACGAAACAAGTTTAATTTTGTAGAAAGGGTCCGGAAAAATAACCCTCACCTCCATATAGCAGCAGACGCTCATCACACACACTTACACATGAACAAACACGCACACAGCGCCCTTCACTCATACAGCAACAAACGCCATTCACCACTAAGTGGCGGTGACGTCACCACTGTGCTTGTGGCAGGCTATGTGCACTTTAAGGTAACGTGAAGCGTCGAACTCTCGCTGGCACGAGGTCACGGAACAGACCCAGGTACCATGGGTTGACTGACTGAGATGCACCACCTGTGATCCCTACTGTGCCAACTTGCTGTGTTTTAGCCGCCCTGTGCTCCACTCATTGTTGTGAGCGTTGTTCCTCGACCTTCCGCTATTGGTGGAGGGCGACTGCCTTCAACTGCCCAGTAGCATCCTTTACGAGCCTGCTCTACAGAGGCCGATCTTGGTACCAGTCATTGGCAAGCCCACTTAGCTCCACATCCTCTCATACCACATCATTTCATCTCTTCTCTCGCCAATGCCACGCCCGTTTAGCCCCCTCTATTCTGGCTGAACAAAAGCTGTTTGGGCATGCGGTGGCTGGGCATACACACACATTTCAATATATCTGGTTAATCATTTGATTTGCACTGCCAACTTAATTTCATGGATTTATAATCATTGTTCTTCTATTTGTGTCAACTTCAATAAATTACGGTCTTGAATATGAATTGTAATTTATTTTCTCATATTTATAATTGTCAAACGACTTATCTGACCCAACTCTACTTTAAAAAAGAGACTTTGGGCTCTTACCTGGTGTGAATTTCTTGATTGAAATAACGAAAATGCAAATGCGGTGGCTTTATCAGCATTCTCCCCACTAATTATGGATGGGCATTGTCAATTCTTATCTGCCCGAGCATCTCAAAGCATCGTACATCGATCACATCTCATCTAAATAATTCCAATATCCAGCTGTAGAATTTTTTTTGTGTGAACATATGCAGTGCAGGTGTATTGATCTTCCCAGTAGACATGGCCTGCTGCGAGCCCACCCCTGGTGGATGATGATCACAAGTTGCCCCCACATTCCACACTTTAATTGAAGCCACCTCCTCCTGTCATTAAGTATTCATTATAGTGGTGCCTCGGTTTTACGATGCCATCGATTATTTCAATTAACAATCCGCCTTCCAGAGTGGTCCAATTGTTTCGATCGACGATAGATTTTCGATTAACGATGTTTAAGATCTTCTTGGTTCTTTCGGTAAAGTCACGTAGAAGGGAAATAATACAATTATAAAAATAAAACATAATAAAATAATTATCACGACGTTTCGGCCACAACGCAAGCAGCCGTCCTCAGGTGAAGACCAGGACTGTCGGGAAGACAGCGTCTGAATGAAACACCACCATGCTTGGAGCGTATATTTAAGCTGGGTTGGAAGGGGAAGAGCACCTTGACAAAAAATGTGCATATCAAGAGGAATTTAGCATATTTATGGGAAATGCAGATATGTGATTAGTACTACTCGTGAAATGCGTAGGAGGTGGGCGGGGGGTTTCAAAGTCATATTATGCCCGTGCATTATGCAGGATTAGCAGCATCAAAGAGAGGGGATAGGGGTAGCATTAATAAAGGGAAAGAATGTTAATAGTATGTAGCTGCAGTAACTAAACAACCACGTAAAAAAAACTAAAGTATAAACTGTTTACGATATCACGGGGACCCGCCAATGTTGGTCAATCGGAGCGCTCCAAAGCGGACTTGGCAGACCTCAGCCAACCACAACCTTCTCCGTAAACCTATTGAGCCATCCACATTCTTAACCTATAGTAAGAATTGTTATTTTATGCTCTATTTGTGCACCTTTAAATGCTCCATTTATTCAGTATTTATCCATGTTTCTATTAATATTAATGCTTTAATATGTTCTTGTAACGTTTATTTACGAAAAATATGCGTGTTTAAATATTACAAACGATGTTTTAGGGTGAAAAAGGTCAACTTTCGATCGTCTTGGAACAAATTATGCCTTTAGCATGTATTTCCTATATTCGATTCACGATAATTTCGATGGTCTTCGTGGAACCAATTAACATCGTTAACCGAGGGACCACTTTCAAACTGCACAACAGTATTCGCGCGCATCACAATACATTAAACACAGCGCTCACCTCGCCGATATCCTGCCATTCTAGATTTGAAGCTTTCGTGACTGCAAGGATTCATATTCTTAGGTTTTTTCGGTAAAGTTGGCTACCACATTCTGATTAGCTCCCCCACCCCCCCGCCTCTCCTCCCCTTCAACTTGCTTTTTAAGGGATTACATCTTGAATCATTGCCTCACTTGATGCAGCTAATCCGGCTGTGACGGTCCCACCTGATGACGGAGACTTGTGTTGCCTCCGAAACGTCGTGATTTTTGTTTTATTTTATTTATTTTATTTATTTTTATTAATTTTGATGTTTTACCTACGTGACTTTACCGAAAAAACCTAAGAATAAGATTTCCTGGCATTATCCCTCAATTTGGCAGGAAGGGTCGTTAGAACTCAGAGGGCACTCACGAGTGCACCGCTTCTTTTGTTTCGATGTAAAGCTTTCGTGACTGCAGTGATTCATCTCCTTGGTTCTTTCGGTAAAGTCACGTAGAAGGGAAGTAATACATTTTATTTTAATTTTAATTTTTTTATTTTTATTTTTTTATTTTTTTTATTATTATTTTTTTTTACTTCCCTTCTACGTGGCTTTACTGAAAGAACCAAGACGACGCTTCTTTGTGTTTTTTTTTGTTATCTTTAAGCCGATGCAGTCCATTGTACTGTCGGTTTATTTCTCCTACCGGTACGATGCACACCACTTCGTGCAACTTACCATTGGGCGATGCTGCGTTGGCAGTGGTGCATGATGAGCGAAGCACATTGTGGCTTTAAAAGGAAGACTATACAATAGGTGACGCTGCCGGCAACTGTCCCTTCATCGCAGCACGATTGGCTTCGTACGGTGCGAAAAAAGGTCAACAACATACATGCATACGAAGAGGGGACATTGCAGGTAACGTCGGCAATTATATATTTTACCCTTTTAAGGCCACATAAGGTGTTACTGACGAACGTGCCGAGGTTTTTAAATCCTTTATATTAAGTTCACTTGCTTGCTTGCTTGCGCGCTTACGACCGTGCAAATCTTTCGGTCGTTTTTTAACCCACTTCCCGTGATCCAATCGAGCTGACATTTTGCACACAGACTCGTTGTGCGGGACAATTTTCGTGAAATTTTTTTCCAAAATTGTCCACTTTTTAGGAAAATTTTTTTTCATATTTTATTTCAAATACCAATGTGATAAAAATGAAACTCTTACTCAAGAAAAACAGAAATGAATAATACAATAAAACCGATGCCACGCATATAAAGGATTTATAGTGAAAAACTTTGTTTTTACGGGTTAAATTTTTTTTTCACTTTTTTTCCCCTTAATTTTCTTCTTTCCCTTGAACCACCGATCGTGAGCGACGGCTTTTTGGAAAACCGCGGTGCGAGCGCGAGCGGGACAGACGGGGAAGGGGCCGACGCGACGGCGCTCACTGGGCACGCCGGAGACGAGTCGAAGTGGTCGCAGCACACGGAACGCTCGCAGCGCCTTCACGTCGAAGCCGCCCGACTTGCCGCCCATGGGGCTGCCGCCTTCGCCCACCTTTGTCACCTGCTCCAGCACGACGCTGAACAACCTGCGGTGGGTGGTGGGTGGTGTGGGGAGAGAGGGGACGCGCGCGCGTGATCGTCTCGAATCGTCCGTCCGTCCGTCCGCGAGTTTTTTTTTGGATAACACCGGTCCGAAAGGCCAATGAGCCGATTGATTAAAATTACAGCGTGCTTGAAAAAAATGTGAACACTTCTGAGAATTTGCAACAATGCCACAAGAAATATGCTTCCTCCGGGCTCTGGAGACCACCAGGAGAAGATTCCAGGCCACGCGTTGACAATGATGGCGAACAAGTGGAGACCCTTTGGCTTTTTGAAGCTATTAACATGACATTTGTTATCATGTTACAGTGTAGCATTTTACATGGTAGGAACCTCCTGGTTACACCAGCCCACAGAGGATAATTGTGTCCGTCCGTCCGTCGTGCAGGGAGGGGCTGGGTGGGGAGGGTGGAGAGGGGCTGGGTGGGGGTTGGGAGGGGTGGGCCTGGGTGGGGAGGGACTGATCACCCCGTGGTGCCCTTATAAAACTCAACGTTTAACCTACTCACGCCGGCTTGTGTCCGCCCTTGCAGTCGGCCATATTTGCGGAATACACCACGCCGCCGTTGACCCTGGCCATTGACCGTGCAACCCAACGTTCCTACCAGCTCCCTCCGCAGGAGGAATGTGTTCCGTTCTTTATACATTTAAAGCAACCTCTATTTTATTTTTTAGTAAAAAAGAGACGGAAGTCAGTATTTAATTAATTGTACTGTCCATAACTTTCTACAGCCTATGACCAAATAACACGGAATGTGCACAGTCTCGTGAGATCTCAGAGGCTAAGCTGGTGTGAGCCTGGATAGTGTTTGGACGGGTGCATAAACAGGTGTTGTAGGCTGCCACTGCTGCTGCGGGACTACGTGGTTGGAAGCCGAGGTCAGTGCAGTGCAGCAAAATCAATTGTTGCACTGCACCTCTATGATCCTACTTGTATGCTGTACTGGCCAGGCGTGTAGCACAGTAAAGCAACCCTCCTGAGTGAGACAGAGTGGGGAGGTCCCTTGTCCAGCAGTGGATCAACAAAGCGCTGTACATTTATAATGCTCCGAAACTGAGCAAAGACCCCGGGAACGGCCCAGCACACGCTGGTCGGACTATGTCGCTCGGCTGGCCTGGGAACGCCTGGGAATCCCCCAGTAAGAGCTCGAGTCTGTGTATAGTGTAGTGTAGCAGTGTATAGTAGTGTATAGTGTAGTGTAGCAGTGTATAGTAGTGTATAGTGTAGTGTAGCAGTGTATAGTAGTGTATAGTGTAGTGTAGCAGTGTATAGTAGTGTATAGTGTAGTGTAGCAGTGTATAGTAGTGTATAGTGTAGTGTAGCAGTGTATAGTAGTGTATAGTGTAGTGTAGCAGTGTATAGTAGTGTATAGTGTAGTGTAGCAGTGTATAGTAGTATATAGTGTAGTGTAGCAGTGTATAGTAGTATATAGTGTAGTGTAGTAGTGTATAGTAGTATATAGTGTAGTGTAGCAGTATATAGTAGTATATAGTGTAGTGTAGTAGTATATGGTGTAGTGTAGTAGTGTATAGTAGTATATAGTGTAGTGTAGTAGTATATAGTGTAGTGTAGTAGTGTATAGTAGTATATCGTGTAGTGTAGTAGTGTACAGTAATATATAGTGTAGTGTAGTAGTGTATAGTAGTATATAGTGTAGTGTAGTAGTGTATAGTAGTATATAGTGTAGTGTAGCAGTGTATAGTAGTGTATAGTGTAGTGTAGCAGTGTATAGTAGTGTATAGTGTAGTGTAGCAGTGTATAGTAGTGTATAGTGTAGTGTAGTAGTATATAGTGTAGTGTAGTAGTGTATAGTAGTATATAGTGTAGTGTAGTAGTATATAGTGTAGTGTAGTAGTGCATAGTAGTATATAGTGTAGTGTAGTAGTATATAGTGTAGTGTAGCAGTGTATAGTAGTATATAGTGTAGTGTAGCAGTGTATAGTAGTATATAGTGTAGTGTAGCAGTGTATAGTAGTGTATAGTGTAGTGTAGTAGTGTATAGTAGTATATATTGTAGTGTAGTAGTGTATAGTAGTATATAGTGTAGTGTAGCAGTGTATAGTAGTATATAGTGTAGTGTAGTAGTATATAGTGTAGTGCAGCAGTGTATAGTAGTATATAGAGCAGTGTAGTAGTATATAGTGTAGTGTAGCAGTGTATAGTAGTATATAGTGTAGTGTAGCAGTGTATAGTAGTATATAGTGTAGTGTAGTAGTGTATAGTAACGTAGTGCCGGAGTCAGGGAAAGGGAGGTCTGGACCGTCCTACTCAACACGCTGCCGCCGTTGCGACCCTCACCAGGACAAGCGGATTGAGAAACGAGCGAACGAACCAAACAGCACATCGTGGGTCTTTCAAGCCGCTGCGCCACTCAGCCCCGGAGCAATCAGGCCTAAGGGTTCAGCAGTGGAAAGATTTTCGTTCTGCAAATGTTTTGGTAGTTCCGCTGGCCTGGTCGTCACGCTGCCACACGACGATTAACCCCTTTGCGAACGGTGCCACGGGCACCCGATACCCGTACCCTACCCGATACCCGGCTACCCGTACCCGGCCGGGTACGGGTACGAGTAGCCGTTTGCGACCCTGGTGCGGCCGGGTACGGGTACGGGTAGGCCGTGAGTCACTGGTGAGTAACCGTTTGTCACTCATTTCGGGTAGGGTACGGGTACGGGTAGGGAACGGGTACCCGTACCTGGCCGGGTACGGGTACACATTTGCGACCCTGGTGCGGCCGGGTACGGGTACGGGTAAGGAATCAAAACCTGTTTGCGACCTCTGCTGTGCTGTGCCAGAAGCGTGAGGCATGTTCGCGGTGTTTACAATGTTTGCAGTTTCTGAAAGAACGGGTGAGCTTCGCGCTCTGTTTTCGCGAGTCAACATTTATGTTTGCGTGTGCACAAAAGCGAGCTGTGGCTTTAGAGCGTTTCAACAATGTTGATGCGAGTTTGATTTTGTGAACACACGTGCCTCCCCTCCCCACCCCAACATGCGCAGAGGCGCAAGGTGCAGTGCCTGGTTGACGAGGTGTGACGATGAGGAGGTGGCACGGAACCCCTCTGCTCGTTGAAACAGCCACAATTTGAGCACGGTGAAATGGGGGCACGGGGTCAATGTGTCCGACACTCTTATTAGCGATCGTGATGTAAGAGTGCGCTGGTTTAGCGAGATGTTATTTCCCCAACCCCCCCCCCCCCCCCCCCGAAGCTAGCAGCGAGCACTTAAGAGAAGAGACTGTGTCTCAGCGAGGAAGCATCTTCGGGTTATTCGTTAACGCCACGAAACATCATTCATTGCACCGCTGACAAGTCTAGAGGAACCCCTCATTAGCAAGCGCGTAACGATTCACCCCCCCCCCGCCGTCGTCCCCCTTTTGCGTCCGCCCTCGCCCCTTCCCAGCGATCGGTTTCATCGCCACGAGTCGTTTTCAACTTCAGCATCGGTCCCCCCCCTCCCCCTCTCGTTTGCATAGCAACTCCCTGCCTTGCTCACCGCAAAGAGAATTGGCATCGACGTAGCAAGGTCATTGGTTAGCAAAAGTAATTTGCAAGAAATTGTAAATATCCAATTGTTACACGCACAAATTGACTGGCGTCTCATCAGCATAATCATGTATTTCACTGCTAAAATCAATGATATATCCAAATATACATCGCGTGTCAGTCTAAACCTCAAATTGTCTTTTTCTCTGCAGAGTGATATTCCAAAGCTGCATATACACAGGAATGCTTACGTAAACTGTGATAAATATTTGTAATTATTGACTATCGCTGGTGTCAACGTAATACAAGAAAAACACAAATCCATTAAAAATTAATACATCCTCATAAATAAACATATGCCTCTGTGGGTGCTGTTGATTTGGTTCAAGGGGTGAAAATTATTGAGATGTCAACATATTTTCCAAATGCTTATGAACTGCTTGCTCAGTGGTCCTGCAGGGCATACACTTAGCATAACGCTTCCACATTTGCCATGCAACAGGGAGCTGAAGCCATATAAATTTCAGCGGCAGGTTATGTGTTCTGCTGGATTTAATCGGCAAAAGCCAAACTGATTTCCCGTTCAAAATATGCATTGAGGCAGCGGTCATCTCCCGTCGACAGCCCTGAACAAATGGTGTAAATACCCCATTCCTATGACAGGGGCAAGTCTATCCAGAGGACAACCACTGTTGACATCCGCACAAAGCTGTTCCTATTTTATCGACTGTGGAGGCAAATAGGTTTAATAATCACTGAAGATTCAGGATGTAACCTACGCCGCCGCGCTTATGTGCCGATAGGAGACGCGACAAATTGCAATGCAAGGAAATGGATTTTTAGCTCGAGTGGTGAAGATCGTGTCTATTTATTGCGGTCGCATTATGTCCCTGACTCTAAAACGCTCGCCTTAAGCAACGCAACGAGGCATTCCTCCCCACGTGCACAAGATTTGTTTTTGTCGTGCGTGAATAGATGCGAACGCAGAGATTAGATTGCACCGTTGCCGTGTCATTTCATCAAGAGTCTCATAATAGGGCTGATAAAAATGGACTTAATTTGTGTGCAATAACACGTAAAGACTTTGTTCCCATGAAATGCAACATCATGGCAGAATGGCGATTAAAAGACAGGCCGGAGGTTCCACTGAAGGTGCAAATTAAGAACGTGTAATTATCAAAAACAAATTTAGCGCTCGTTTTTTTCAAATTCAAAATGGGTTCCCTGAACCTCGTTAAGATAATTAATATTGACATTCACTTATTTGATGGCAAAGAATCCAAAGCCTGCTTATGAATAAAAAAAAACACACCGAACAATGACAGGTTCATCATTAACGCAGAGTGGCACGTATTTGTTATAAACACATCATGATTTCACTGTTTTACTTCGTATACAGTATGCCGTTAAGTCCTATTCACAGACGACCGGTTTTCTCTCCTCTGAAATGGCTCAAAATAATGCAACAGGAATATTTTGGGGAAAAAAACAGGACGGCATTATTTCCTAAGCCGTCACCAATTTAATCACCACTTTGCCTGCTTCCTCCCTGGCTTTCCGCAAGCATTAAATTATCTCAATTCGTCACGTGGAAAATGACGGTGACGTGGCAGGTGAAGACCCACACAAGGCCTATCAAACAGCCATTAGCCGGGGGACAGCGTGGTCAAGACAGCGATGATTGGGTAATCGCCGAGGTCAGGGTAGGCCCGGGGGCCCAACGTGACCCGTGGAAAGCGTCGGAAACGGCTCGCCACACGCACCAGAGGCCTGGCGTGCATCTTCGCCGCTGCCTCCGCCACGTGCGTCGTGCTGGCTCGTGTGGGTCGACACGCGGAGCTGGATTGCATGGGGTGTGTGTCCGCGCGGAAAAAAAGTCAGGGGCCATAGCGGTTGCGAGACTGCGTTTCTATTTTTTTTTTCGTGGGATACTGCGTTGGCAGTGGTGTGCAACGAACAAAAAAAAACTCGACACGTCCATCAATAACACGCCCTACAGTGGAAAAAAAATATATAATAGGGGACACTTCTGGCAATGGCCCTTCTTTAGAGCAGAGATCTCTCAGCCGCTATGAGGAAGAGCCATTTCCTGGAAAATCACCCATTATATAATTTCACCTCTTTAGGGCACTGTTATTGGCGAAGCTGTTGAGTTTCTGTCACGAGTGTGTGCGAAGATCAATGTGGATCCGGCCGCGAGGAACAACCAAGCGTCCTGGGTGAAGTGGATTGAGACGCATGCATCCAAGCACGTGGCGCACCGCTCGAACGCCCGCTATCATTTGCCGTCCGGACGTACGGTTCTTGACCTGTGCCGCACACTGCACCACGTCCTGAGACGCCAGCCGCGTTTGGAAGGGGAAGTTCCGCGCGTAGAACGCCGGACCGCGCAATTCAAGTTCAAAAATCGCGATTGGGGATGGATTCGATGAATCATCCCTCTGGGGCAGAGGTCGCAAACGGGTTTTGATTCCTTACCCGTACCCGGCCGCACCAGGGTCGCAAACGGGTACCCGTACCCAGCCGTACCCGGCCGGGTACGGGTAGGGCACAGGTATCGGGTACCTGATTGCGACCTCTGGGATGAAGCCATGTTGCAGGGGCGGGTGGGTTGATTCTAGGAACTTGAATTGTGAGAAGAGACATGATGTTGGGAAATGAGTGACAAACAGTTACTCACCAGTGACTCACGGCCTACCCGTTCCCGTATCCGGCCGCACCAGGGTCGCAAACGAGTACCCGTACCTGGCCGGGTACGGGTAGCCGGGTATCGGGTAGGGTACGGGTATCGGGTACCCGGTTGCGACCTCTGCTCTGGGGTAGAAGAGGCGAATTTCACCCTGTAGGATTTTATGAAGGTCCGTGCTAACAATCAGACTGGCTCCCGCCATGGACATTTTAGGAATGCCCACAAACATTCGTGGTTTCCGTGCAAATTTGAGTGGGGAAATAATTAAAATTAAGGCAATCATTATATATTATTGATGTAGTGCTCCACACCTCCATGCTAAGTTAACGGGAGGTGTTGAAACAGATTTGACACTGAAAGCGCACACATGTGCTAAAAGGAAAATGCATTAGCACGTCCTAATTTTATGATTATTTTATGCCTGCTTACCCAAGACACCTCGCGCGCTCATTTCGTTGAAGGTTCCTTAATTAATCCCAAGAGTTATTTGGGGTAGGTCATTTCTTTCAAGCTCGGCAAATTTGGACCATGAAGCCGGCACGCAATGGCTTGCTCTCGTCAATGGCTTCAAGGGGTCTTTAACGTCCAAAGCAAAGCGGATGTCGCGGGGATGTTTTACCGTCGAATGCACGCTGGGATTCGAACTGTGAACCCCCGAGAGCGCACGGCGAGCGCGTCACGACCCCACACCGAGCGTGCCCAGCAACATGAACGCGCGTGGACCTGGAAATACTTCACTCGAGGCAGTGGCGCCGCACAGGCTTGAGTGGCCAAGGCGATATTGAATTCTACAGTGGCGGGCATTCTACAGAGTCGCGGAGTGTTAGAAAAGAACAAAGGGAAAAGCTTTTGGCTTCATCTAAGACGCGCTCCGTGCTCCTCTTCCAGCGCATCGATGCAATTTAACGTTATAAATAAAATGTGCAAACAAACACGAATGCACCGTAAAAAAATGTGGTTGCATCGAGATGGGCCAGCTCAACCCTCTCGTCCGTAACTTTCACAGCCCCCACTGCCGCCCCCCGCCTCATCAGTGGTCCCTGTGAGCTAACAACGCACGCGGCTCGCCGTGCGAGATGGCGGTCACATCGGCAGGCTTCGTAAATTGACCGCTGCGTTGCGCCGCCGACCGGCAATTTTGGAGGCGAAGGGATTGCTGATGCGTGCCGCAGATTAGCGACACTCCGCCCTCCTCGCTGAGATGGGAGGCGACGCTGGGAGACGGACAGCGACTTGGTGCATAAACCCATACATACGTAGAGACCCTGGTTTTCCCCCTCATACTCGTTTGGTGTTTCTGCGGATACATTGATTAGCTCACCTCGCAAAGACACATTCTCATTAAATGGGTCAAACATTCTGAACGCAGGAGACCCTGTTCAAAAGTGGTCGTGTGTGAGCTTTCTTTGGTAATTAAACGAGGATAAAAAAAAGACTCTGTAAATTGCTCATGTAAACATAGTTAATGAATAATGATGGGAATTAATTAAATAACGGTTGCTAAATAGACAGTAGATAATAGGCTTCCAACCGCGCATCGATCCATTGATTAAAACATAATCTTGCACTCATGATACTTGCGTTGATTTCTGCGTGTACGAGAATAGATTATTATCAATTAGAATACATGTTGTACTTAATTGGTTCACATGACCCCTGCAGCCACTAGAGGTGCTACACTTACAACAAGAACAAAAAGAGTAAAATACATTCTTAAAATCGAATCATGATCCTGAGAATATTGACCATTCATAGAATCTTGAGAGGGTAAATAATTTATTTGTCTTGCTTACAACACTTCTGGTGGAAGGACCTCACAATAGAGAGCTCTAGAAAACCCCTCTAGCGGATACTTGGCCTACTCTTCCACGCCGGCAACACATCGTGGAAGAGCTGGGATCACAAAGACAAATATCCCCCATAAAGACGAAACAGGCTGTTGGGGCAAGTGCTGTTTGCGAGCACCTATGAAGGGGGGTTGGGTGGCCAACACAACGCCCGTCCGCCTTTCTCTCCCCAGTGGAGGTTTACACACCGCACCAGGTACTCATTTGAGTCCGAGTCCACCTAGGGGAGGCCCAGGACGCGTTCAGATAATCGTCACTCGTGTTGACCGCGAACGGGAATCGAACCCGGCGGGTTCGGAGCGGGCCGCTCACTTACCGCTATGCCACCACTCCCCACCAAGGTGGGAGTAACCACACTTCACCGCACACCACGTGACCTGCCGATTGATTCACCGTGCTGTACCCATGAACACTGCTTGGTGGACAGAGATGGGGGCAGGGATTTAAGAAACTTGCACCGTTATATTAACTGCTGCTGCACAGGGGAGATGAAATCGAACGGTCTACCTCTGTGTTATTACAATTCCAGTGCACTTAACCGTTACACCACGGCAACAGTGTGTTTGAAATCTGATGCCATCAGCACGCACTGATGGCGTTGGTTGTAACTGGACATCTGAGAAAAAGAGCTTCATAGCTCCTCGGATTTCTCCAAGGAAGAATAAAGATTCAGACTCCGACACACAAACGTGCATTCTTACCCCACGATGACGATGACGAAGTCGAGCAGGTTCCACCCGTTGCGGATGTAGGAGCTGGGATGCATGACGAGCCCGTACGCCAAAATCTTCAGGAACGTTTCGATTGTGAAAATAATAAGGAACGCATATTCCACTTTTTCCTGCGGGAAAAAAAAGAGAAACGCATCAAAGCGTTCGTCAGTAATTTCCTCCGACGCTTATACCGGCGTGTTGTTCTGAATGATGTCCGACGTTTCGCTCCACAGGCTGGGAGGTTCTTTAGCGCGTGGAGCAATAATATGAATCTGCCGTGTAAACATGACACCCCCTCTATCCATGTCCAAGGGCACGAAGAGCATTTTGCCCTTGAGACAAAGTAAGCAGTCTGACATGCTGATGAGTCCCAAAACGCGTGCTGTCACAGTATGTAGTTGCATCAACTTGATCAAAGATGCAAATGTGTCAAGTGTGATGACAGCATTTGAAAACTAGGATTTTTGGGGAGGTTTTTTTTTCCCAGCGATGAAGGACAGGCAGCTTCCCACTTAATTACGCGCACATTCCCAATGCTGCGCGCATTATCAACAAAACCAACGTTCGTCGATTTGCCATTCCTTGCCATGACTGTGAATGGATTTCTGGTGGGTTAGTCCGTGTTGCCATGCTGACCCTGTTAAGCAGGGGGGAAATAATAACACAAGGCACAGCACAGACAAAGCAAATGTGTGTGAATGGATTAAACCGTTGCTGTCCGCTAATATCCAGTCCCTGTCACTCCACTGCTAGATGGAAGGTCTCTCTAATGCCGTGTCAGTCATGGGGAGGGTGTTTGGTTATTATTATTCCCCCCATCCGATCAGTGCTGGTTGCTGAAGTCAGGGGCCACAAGCGGGTCCGGATATCAATCGGCGCTAATGATGGCCTTCGTCAGGGAATCGAACTTAGGTGGCCCAGGTTCGTACCCGCAATGTGCCGACCGCTACACCGCAACTCTTCCATTCACCGCCACCCATCAGCTGTTTAATATTCCGTAAGCGCCGGTGCGAGAGTGTGGGTAATTGCAGGGGAGTTTGTCACAAACACAAAATACATCTCCAACGCCCGCAGATATGTAATCTGTGAGCCTCATTTGGAAGATGAATATGCGAGCAACGTGTTTCAGTTCAATCAGAAGCACGAGGAGTGAGGATGCAGATCTTTACACAGAGGCCGAAAGCGATGCTACAACAGCGCCTCATTATTACAGATCGTTGATAATGGTGGATTGATGCACTGAAGTGGCCTAATACGTCAACTCTGTGATGTTTCCAAGGGTAATATACTAATTACAGAGCATTTGATTCAGCAATATAATTAATGACCTGTACCCTTTAGCTCTCGTTAGTGTAACCACTGTACCTTGCCCCACTGTATTATCCTACAATGTTTGGTGAATTTCTATCCTATATGTTGATAAAGAAGCTCGCTTTTTTTAAATATAGCTTGTACACTCAATTTTCAAACCGTCATAGGATTATTTGGCTAATGGTTCGGAGGATTGAGCCGGCATTGAAGAGATATTGGGATCTAATCTGGTTTCTCAAGGGCAGCGAGTTAATGGCATCAGCCTAGTCACTAATTACGTCACAATTTAAAATGTGTATTTTTTTCCAATGAACTTCACCTCCGAGAAATAACAAAAGAATATTAGTTTGAATGCAATGCTACAACCGTCCGTCTGCACGCAGGGCATGTGGGTAAGCACACTTCGTAAGCGTGTGATTAAGCAATCTCGCTCAAAGTTGATCTTAGAAGCAGGTCTTGTGATACCACGTTTCACGGGCCATTCTTCAACGTGTGGGTGATGAGAGTTCCAAAGGGAAAGATCTTCGTCGCATCACACGAAGCCAATAACACAACAGGAATAACATTTGGAAAAGACCAAAAACATACACACTTTAGATCGTCTTGATATTGATCACAGTATTATACGAACGACAGAGTGGACAGAAGGTGGCATGCTGTGAGTCCAGAGAACCCGAGTTTGATTCCCGATCACAGCTGATGTCAGTGTCGAGTCATCACTAAACCGCCCCCTGGCCTCCATTCACGAACCCACACGGACCAGCGCGGTGAAGTATGGTAAAGCAACCAGCGTGGTGAAGTATGGTAAATCAACCAGCATGGTAAAGTATGGTAAATCAACCAGCATGGTAAAGTATGGTAAAGCAACCAGCGTGGTGAAGTATGGTAAATCAACCAGCGTGGTGAAGTATGGTAAATCAACCAGCGTGGTGAAGTATGGTAATGCAACCAGCGTGGTGAAGTATGGTAAATCAACCAGCGCAGTGAAGTATGGTAAATCAACCAGCGTGGTGAAGTATGGTAAATCAACCAGCACGGTGAAGTATGATAAAGCAACCAGAGTGGCCGACACGCCATGAGGATTCCTTTATTCCTCGATGGATTCACAAAGGGCTAGAAAATAAATGACGAACATACATTTCACTTGACATGCCACGGTGTCAATTGACACAAAGACCCCCCGAATAGCCTTAACAGACTGATGGGGCAAGTGCTGTTAGCGAGCACCTATGAAGGCAAGCCTCTGCACACCCTCACGATTAAGTACAACATTTAAAAAAAATACGCCCGATGGTCGATCCCACAAAACGGAGGCCAAGCGAACACCCGAGTCTTATCGGCGACGGTTAAATGCGATCCGTCGTGCTTTTAAGAGGGTAAAATGAGGAGAGAGGATTTGGTGGTGGGGTGCATCTCGAACGAATTCCTCATCGGCCACGGGGAACTCAACTCCGAACGCCGCCGCCGATGCATCCCGAGTCACGAGACGCGGACACGTAAAAGCCGTTTGCAACCCAAACAAGTATAACCCGTATAAACAAAGTTTTTCACTATAAATCCTTTATATGCGTGGCATCGGGGCGGCTAAAGCCCTCTCGTCCTCTGGCTTGAGATGGCTGCCACCTATGGGTCAGATGATTGCCTGCAGCATTAAACAATTGGTAATTAATATTTTTAAAAAAAATCCCTAAACACTGTAAAATTTTGGAATTTTTTTCACGAAAATGCATTGTCATGCACAACGAGTCTGTGTGCAAAATGTCAGCTCGATTGGATTACGGGAAGCGGGTTAAAAAACGACCGAAAGATTTGCACGGTCCTAAGCAAGCAAGCGAACTTAATATAAAGGATTTAAAAAACAAAGCGATAGAAATCCTCACGCAGTAGCCGACAGTGAAGCGATGGGTTCGCGTTGAGTCACTTGCTCGAGACTCGCAACCCCCCCCCCTCCACCCTGACGCTGCCGTGAATCGGCGCAAGTTTGCAGCGGTGGAAGGCGTGGCCAGCGTGATGGGTGGGGGCGTTGGGGGGTGCGTGATGTGCTGCGTCTTGAAGAAATTAAGGTGGGGATCGCATGACATATATAGGGGTCCTTTTGCTGTGCGGTAGGGATGAACGATTAATCGAATGCAAATCGAAATCGCAATTTGAAACAATGCGGTTAGCAAATCACGTCGATTTGAAAAGTCCTATTACTTTCTTGTTGGAATTTGTAACTTTTTTATTATTATTATTATTATAAATAAAGAATTTTATTTATTTTACTTAACAATTGTTCTGTTTGATTGTTTTATTTCAATTCAAACATTTTAATAAATACATGTTGCAAGCAATTAATATAATTTAAGTTCTCATCCTTGCAGTTCATATTTTGATGGTATCATGTGATAATGCTGCATCACATGTCTTACATCTATTACACAGTGAATATGGAACTGCAGCTTGACTTTTAAAAATGTAATCGCAAATCAAATCGCAATCGCAATATCTGTCAGAAAAACCGCAATTAGATATTTTCCCCAAATCGTTCAGCCCTACTCTGTCGGCAGTTCAGTGCACAACACCCGTTCTTAGGCGGGAAGCGCACGTGCGCACAGTGGTACGTGCGCATAGTGGTACGTGCGCACAGTGGTACGTGCGCACAGCGGTACGTGCACACAGCGGTACGTGCGCACAGCGGTTCGTGCGCACAGCTGTGCGTGCGCACAGCAGTACGTGGAAGTCTGTGCCACACAAAGGCAACGATCGTCCCCTGTAGCCTTAACAGACTGTTGGGGCAAGTGTCGTTAGCGAGCACCTATGAAGGCCGGTACGGCGCACGAGGGGGTGGGTGTCCAGCACCACGCCCGGCCGCCTTTGTCTCCCCAGTGGCGATGTTTACACACCGCAACCAGGTACTCATTTGAGGCCGAGTCGACCTCGCGCAGGAGGCCCAGCACCGGGTCGCCGGGTTCGTAGCGCAGCGTAGCGCTAAGACGCACCACACCTGCAGCCGCGCGCGGTCATGGCAAGTTCACCGTGCCCCTTGTCGCGGTGTTAAGCGTAATGCCCTGTAAACACACCGTGGCCGACGATCGCACCGAGGTATATCATGCGGCAGAGAAACGGCGACGCAGGTTTCCCGGCTGCTGGGATTTTGCGTTCGAAGGCTGGTGACCCACCCAGTCCCGTGGTGATTTTGCATTCGAAGGCTGGTGACCCATCTAGTACCGTGATGATTTTGCATTCAAAGGCTGGTGACCCACCCAGTCCCATGGTGATTTTGCATTCGAAGGCTGGTGACCCACCCAGTCCCGTGGTGATTTTGCGTTCGAAGGCTGGTGACCCTCCCAGTCCCATGGTGATTTTGCGTTCGAAGGCTGATGACCCACCCAGTCCCATGGTGATTTTGCATTCGAAGGATGGTGACCCACCCAGTCCCATGGTGATTTTGCGTTCGAAGGATGGTGACCCACCCAGTCCCATGGTGATTTTGCGTTCGAAGGATGGTGACCCACCCAGTCCCGTGGTGATTTTGCATTCGAAGGATGGTGACCCACCCAGTCCCATGGTGATTTTGCGTTCGAAGGATGGTGACCCACCCAGTCCCATGGTGATTTTGCATTCGAAGGATGGTGACCCACCCAGTCTCATGGTGATTTTGCATTCGAAGGATGGTGACCCACCCAGTCCCATGGTGATTTTGCATTCGAAGGATGGTGACCCATCCAGTCCCATGGTGATATTGCGGAATGGGGCTGGAGATGGCTGAAACAACTTGTAAAATGTTACAACGTAAAAAAAACTGCAAAACATTTAAAATGAAGCCATACGTTTT